TACCACTACCACTACTACCACTACCACTACCACTACTACTACCACTACTACTACTACCACTACTACTACTACCACTACTACTACTACCACTACCACCACTACTGCCACTACTACTACTACTACTACTATTAATGCTGCGATGCTATTTATATTTGTACTAATGCTGCTACTACAAATACTACTTCTTCCTGCTTTAATAAAACTTTAAAGGACTGCAGAGCTTGCAAACTAACAGCCAGCCCCTTTAGTATGCCTTACAACGTTTTATCCTTGTTTTGTTGAACAGGTGAGCGGTCATTCCCATACGACCTTCCAGGACAAACGTGTAGCAGAACTGAGATAGAAAAGTTCTCAACAGCCTGTCGTGAACTTGGGGTCACCTATGTCGGGCTTTGCTGTGGCAACTGTTCTCACTACATGCGGATTGTGGCCGAGGTGACTCTTTTTTTACATGTAGAAGTGTTGGTGTTGTTTTTTGCTCTTGTTGTTGTTGTTGGTCTGCGTGTAATCTTACTGCAGTAAGCAGAAGTGTAAGGATGTTCTTTGTTTAGCCGTATGCTCATACTGTGCAGGAACAACTTAGGCGCAAATGCTGCTTTTTCTTACTTTTTCTTTACTATCGTCATGTTTCCTTTACTTCTTTTGTATGGTTGTCACTCTCTTGTGTATTGCCGGTGCCTTTATAGTCGAATTAGACTTCGTACTTTTGAGGCTAGAGAGGTGAGCACTGTAAGCCTGATTCCCCGTTTAGACTTCTCTGTTGATACCCCTTTGTTTATGTGGTTTTTTTGTGTCTTACGACCTTATGCAGTTGCGAGCGCCATAAGAAAACGTTACTAAAACAAGCCAAGGCGATCATCTCGTTTCAGAAAGCAATGTTGCTCGAGAAGTGCCCCTCACACACACACATCCACACTACTGTCTGTTACAAAGAGCGCTTGAGCAGTATACAGGTAAAACGTCTGCAAATTTCCACTACAAGGTTACACACAAGGTTCCAGAAATAAAGGAACAAAGTAACTGCATGTCAAATTTCTCTGTTTTGTATGAAAGGCCTGTGTCTCCATACTATAACCTCTCAGTCTATTTTTCAGAAAATGGCAGCTGTGTTGATAGATAATATTGCTCAATTCGCTAACTGACTGCAACCCCATGTTTGACAGACGTTTAAAAGAGTACCAACTGCACCAAATATCTCCACGTTAACAGAATTAACAGAATACAATCACTAAAATAATTAAATAGAGCATAATTTTTTTCAAGACTGTGAGATCGTTACAAAGCAATATTGTATTGTCTCAAACACGATGATCTGCCGTTATTTCGACTAAAAAATTATTTTTTAAAAATAAATAAATAAAAAAAACAGTGCTCCACTGAGTTTAGTGTATATAATTCAAAGCCAATTAATACAAAAAGAACTGTTCTTTCTGTTGGTACCTTTTTTGAGCCGGCATTTTACATAATTCGTGTTAAAAATGATCTTTTCGAAATTTGAGGCTTTTTTAAAGGCCAAAAATATACCACCCCGTTCAAAGCTATATTATTATAGTTGTCCGCCAATTCAAAACATTCGAATGAAGGGGTACCAATTTTTTTTTAACCGGCGGACCTTGCAACCGAGAGGGGCTTCGCTTTCCACAGTTATTCTCTAGCTCCAAATACTAGAATATACGCACATAACGCTATTGTAAAGAAGAAAATCGGAACTTTTTCAAGGTGTACAGTATTTGGTGTGTTATAACAAAGAAAAAGCGATCTGAATTACCTCAATTTCACCGAAACCACGCCCTCGGAAGGCTGCTATTCAACATTTTTCTTAGAAAACCTCAAGAAGTGTAAGAGTCCTACGAATGCTAGAAAGAGAGACCTTGTCAAATGATTAAGTCCAGAAAGCCCCTTAGGTTTACAGCCAAAACTGAACTTGCTGAGGCGTTGGGTGTAGTAAGAAACCATATTATGGAGTCACATTAACGCGAAACGTGTATACCCAGAGAAAGTATTTGGACAAAACACTAAACATTTCTAAAAATGTATCAACTGTAATATTGTGCAGATCAAGATCCAGCCATAGAACCAGTTACCGAGATGGTTACAGAACTGTGTTTTGGTGAAGAATACAGCTTATCATTTTGAGGCATATTGACGCCCTAAAAAGACCAGTGTTCAACGTGTTCAAAATGCAACATTTTGACGTGATGAAAAGCAATTGTCACAAGCATTGCAAGACGAGCGCATAAAGCGTCACAAGAAAACTAGAAAACGTCGTCCTGACACTTTTTGGGAGTTGCTTTGAATGGCAGAAGTCATTGAAGTTATATTTTAAGTTTCGCTCTAATGACGTACAGAAGTTAGAAAGGGTGTGCTTTTGATTATGCCATTAAAGTTCAAAGATTGAATATTCTCCCAAGCTATTTTTTGCTACCCTCAGTAAGCATTAAAAAGTGAGACTGTTATAATATTCTACATATTATAACAGTTACAAAATCAGCATTCACCACCCTGCAAAAAGTGAATCAGTCCAAAGTGGTCAGGGTTTTTTTTATTTTACAGAAACCTCTTGCCCCCAAAGCATGACAATTATTCTAATCTTACGATATTCCCGTGCAGTATGTGCCTTCAAAACTATGAATTTCAGCTGTAAGTCGTAACAAGATGGTTGCCAGATTTGTAACGCAAAAAAACTACATTTTCTCGAAACTTACTTTTGGACTTATTCACCTATGGCAAGCAGCCATCGAAATAGCACATTGCGTCTTACGGCTGATTATGACCGAGGCGGAGAGCTGTCTACAATGTAATGAATACAATTCTGTGGTGTTCTTCCAGATTTTTGGTCGGAATCCAGAGGCATCCAAGTTCTCCCCCGATATGTCTCAACACTACATGTTTGGGGATAAAAAGAAATTCAGTGACTACACGACTAAGGGAATGGTGGAGTATACAGGCGCTGAAACGTAAAATATTGTTTCCTTTTATTCTGACGATTCGCTCTGGAACTCTCAGCAAAAGACACTGGGGTACATTGCGTGTATTTTGCCCTGTATAAGAATATGTAATCTAGAGCACGATAAGGTAGAACTACGCAACCTAGTTTTGTTCATAAATGATAACGTAAGGATTTTTAAAATACATGTTTTCTTGTTGATGCTCATCGTTGTGGTGTTTTCACTTTGAACTCTGAACTATATGGTAAAAAAAAAGTGTCATCTTTGTTGTTGCAGCGGTGGTGGTGGTGGTGGTTGTGTGTGTGTGTGTGTGTGTGTG